ACAGTACCATGTATTTTTTTTACATCACATAAATCTTTCGTATCAAATTCAGACTTTAAAAGGTTTTTCATTTTTATGATTTGAGCTTTACTATGACTAGCAAGCAGCATATCATCAACATACAATAATAAGTAAATTTCACAAGCATTTTTAGAATTACTTTAATACAAGCAAGATTATATTCAGTCCTTTTGAAGTCAATTTTTATCAGATATGCATGAAATCTCTTGTACCATTACTTAGGAATTTGCTTAAGATCGTAAAAAAAGTTCTTAAGTAAAGTTCAGACTTGTCTTTCACCTCAAATTCATGAGGTTGAGATATGTAAATAACTTCATCTAGTTCCTCACGAAGAAAGGTTTTTTCAACATCTAGGTGTTCCAATTCCCAATTGAATTGGACAACTAATGCTAAGTATGAACGTATAAAATTGGTCAAATATGTCACTTGTAACATTTTCACTTTGTAACATGACTACTTCTTGTATAAAGGTTAAATCTCCTTTTGAAATTGTACAATGCTTATATATATTATTTTCATCTTATATAAAGCGATGATAATTTTTGAGGATAATGGGAAACTTCTGACACTTAAGCCACTATTACAAACACATTAAAAAGTCAAATTGATAATGTTAATGTAATAAGATTTCAAGAGCAAGAAATAAAAGTCGTTTTAAAAATATTTGGTGGAAATTAAACATAGACCCTAAGACATTTAGAGATGTTAAAATTTTATCTTCTGCATTATAAATTTTGAGTTCTTGTTTGACATGATTATTGGTACAATATTGTCTGTTATTAATAAAGTAACAAAATGTTGTAAAGTATTGACATGTCTATTGATCTTGCTATTAGTCATTTGAATGCACTTATTTCATTTTTTGAAACATATAGAAAAATCAGATTTGAATTTGATAAGATTGCTACTAAAAAAATAGTAGCTCGAAAGTTGAATCTATATTTCATGAAAAGAGTATTATTCATAGAAAGAAGAATTTCGATGAAAATATGAATGATGAGATAACACATTCAATTGAAGAACATTTTAAAATTGATTATGTATTATACATAGTTGATCAAGCTCTTTCTTTATGTTGAATATGTGACCCAAATTCCAAAATTGGTTCATGTTTCGGTTGAAAAGGAGTTAAAGAAGAATCAAAGTGGCAATTGAAGTTTTGAGTGGCAAATCGGTGCTTAGACGCTAAGAAACAAGTTTTGGGACCGAAACTCAAGGTCTGAGCACCATTGGTAGCACCGGGCTGCCGCTCGCGTGGCATGAGGCTACTGCTCTTATTTGGAAAAGTTTTGTTTCCATTTTTCTAGCTTGTTTTTATCATCCTTCCATCTAAAATATATTTTTTTTGATCCTATATATGCTCCACGAATTGTATAGCTTTCATATTATTATATATGAGCTTTAGAGAATAGACAATATTGTGAACACAATATTCTTTATATTTTTCTCTATATTTATAAATTCTCCATTTCTTAGCCAATTGTTCTAGTGTACTTCTAGTGTTGTGATTGCTAATTCATATCGTGTTATATAATCTCATCTTTATTTCCTAACATTTTATTTAATATTTGAATTGTGTTTGATTTAAAATAATGGAAGATTGCAGATAATAATTGTGTGAAGTGTTGGTGTAATAAATTTGAAGAATTTTTAAGCATGACAAGGATTTTGATATTGATGTGTCGTAGTTATTTTTTGAACTACAACTTATTCAAAATTGTTTGTCGAAGAGACCAAAAAAGTGATTGAAGTGTTAAACTATATAAAAATGATAGACTGTTGTTTTTCAAATGTGTCGATGGCTTATAGAATACTATTAATTTTTTTTTATTTAATAAAAATATTATGTTTTGTTACTATATATTTTTTAAAATATTTATAGTGGCCCATATTTGAAGTTGACTTCAGACTCCCAAATTCTCAGGGGTGGACCCTGCAGAAAAATTCGAGTAGATCGAAATTCACATGGCAAAGAAGAAACCTTTCGCCTGACTTCTCCAGAATGAATGAGGTTGGGGAGTCAGGTGTATTGAAGGAAGGTGCCAAGAGTTGAGCACATCAACGCGAGATAATTAGGGATGAAAAACTTGTTCAACTCGATATTCGCGAGTCCTGTCCTGAATGGGGCAAGTTTACTCTCCCAATCGGGGTAAATGGGGAGGAGAGGGATGTGGGTCGTTGCCTCAAAGCGGGTATGAAAAATATAGTCATCGCCCTACTACCCGTCCCGTTTAAAACTAATTTCAAATTTAAATTTTTTATCAAACAGAAAGAAAAAAAAATTATCATTATTTTTAAAAAGAACGTTAGTTGCTCTTAACAGGGCTATAAATCAGAGATATGTGATGAAAGTGAAAAAGACTTGCAAGTTAAGTGATCTATCAAAGTTTTTCGTTAACTAATATTGAAGTTGTAAAGTGAAAAAAGTCTTTTCAGCATGCGGGAAGGGCAATAACGGAGCATGAACTATGCATTCCTGACCCACAATTCTCGTGTGTCCTTAGTGTGGATTAATTTTATACTTAAGACTGACCGAATGGTTCAACTATCCAAATTTGATTCCTTAAAAGTTTTGAGAGAGATATGGGACTTGTTTGGCATGATTTTCGAAAAGTCAAATTGAATTTTTGAAATTCAGTAAATATATTGGACTTATTCGATTAATTTTATAAAAAAGATTTTTCTAGTTAAAAAAACTAAAATGGATTAGCATTAATAGTAAGTTCCCCGGGGGGATTTCTTTCCTATGCTTGCTGGCTAAACAGAGTAGCCTTCCACACGTGCACTGAAACCAGAGTCTACGACTCGCCTTAATTTCATTTAAAAGCTCTTACACAAAAAGACGGAAAGCTATTTTTCTAGTTTTATTGAAATTTTAAATTTTTAACATTATCGTTGCATTTGTAAAGAAGAGTAATACTAGGGAGGGAGAGAGAGAGAGATCTATATGCCCATATCGCTTTTTAATCATTGATTCTTTACATAAATACTGATATTCAGATTGCAAATCATAAAAAAAATTCTAGTAATTCAAATAATAATTAGAATCATAAAATTGTTAAGACGATAATTTTAGATTGATCGAAACAAGTAGATGTGGCAAATAAAGAACCTCATGTAAATACCATGACGCAGGATCATATCTTCCGAGACCATAATTTCTCCAAATTGCTTATATAAACGTTCATGCCAAATTACTTAACCCAGATCATTTTAGCCATCCAATAGAAACAAGTATTTCGTCAAAATTATAAGTTTTATTTATATCTTAGAATACTTAAATAAATAATATTGCATCTTTTGCTACTTACCACTCCAATTAATTGAAAGTGAATCAATTGTATTATGTCCCGCAATGAATATATAGAGTTTTGAGGTTTAAAAATACAGAAAAATAAATAAACTTATCAACTCGTTCCGTTTTGGGATTCATTTCCTCTCCTCCTCCTCACCCTTAGGGTTGGCTTGTCACATTTTTTTCGACCGATTTTGACAGTTTTTAGGTAACAATGTTTATAAGAGACGAAGAGTTCAAAAAAAGTCAGAACTTGTTAATTTTTTGGAGCCCTCATGTAATTTGGCTAGTGTTTTTTTAACTCATCAAATCTATTATTTTTGGCATTTTAAAATTTTTTATTCTCATTTTACTCTCTCTCAAATAATTATTTTCAACTCACATATTTTGTACAAAACTAAGGTTTTCATCTCTTAAGAAGAATTTTACTTACAAGGTTAAAAAATTAATTATACTTTAAAAATTGCTTATATATATACAATAACTAAAAAATTTACTTTTAAATATAAAAATTCTTTTTGATTTATAAAATAAAAATACTACTAATAAGACAAAATTTACATGTGTCTAAAAAATTATGTATAAGTACAAAATTAATTTATAACTTCAAATTTTACTTATAAGTAAAAAATGACTTATAACTTAAAAATTAAACTATAAGTAAATATTCAACTTTTAAAGTTAAAAATTACTTAATTATAATTAAATATAACTTGTGAATAAAAAAAAAATCAAACAAAAAAATTATAAATAGAAAATTTTACTAAGAGCGTGTTTGGGAGCAATTTTTGTGGGACTTTAATCAAAATTCTAGCCGTTATAGTCAATCTGTGGGTCCCACCTGTGAGAGGGAAAGTAAAAAATGGTAGCTGATTTGTTAGGATGTTAATCAAAATAATAGCCGGTATAGTCAACCTGTGGGCCCGACCTATGAGAGGAAATGTCAAAAAAGGAATATGATTTGATAGTTAACGGCTAGAATTTTGATTAAAATCTTGATTAAAATTTCTTCCAAACAGGGCCTAAGTAAAAAAAAAAAGTTGGATGTCATCTCTTAAAAAACATTTAGAAAAAAGAGTTTAAATATACCGACTTATGAAAATTAGCTTCACAATTATATTTATTTTCCTTCATCTTATAATTCAATAAAAAAATAATTGGCATGCAACCAAGGGCGGACCTACTTGAGGACCACCGGGGGCTGCTGCCCCCACTCAATTTTCAAATTTTTCGATTTTTCTTCAGATTTTTTAAATTTTTTTGTCCAAATTCTTTTAGGTTTTCAGATTTTTTTTCCAAGATTTTTTGGTTTTACCCTCACTGAACTTCCTTCATATGTCCACTTCATACACAATAAAAAAATAAATTGGTAAACATTATAAAATCATATTGAATTGGACGCCCATACCTACTTCTAATATATATATATAATGTAACTTTGTTTAAAAATAAATAAATCGAAACGGCTAGATAGTAAATTTTTAAATACGGATTGAAATATTTTAAAAATTGATTCTAGGAATCATTCAAAATTGGATCGCTCGTAAATGTCCAAAATCCATTCTTTTATAATAATTCCCTCCAACCCAACCGTTTCAGTATAATATTTTGTTATTCTCTTCCGGTTAAAATCCATTTGCTAGATTCAAACTTAATACACCAAACTCTCCTAAAATGGCTGCTAATGCTTCACATTCTTTGCAGGCGTCATCGAGTATTGCTTCTACACACCCTCAAGCTTAAACCCTGTTCGGATTCACAAATTTCTAATTCTCTCTCATTCTCTTCTCATTTACGCAGTTTCTCGCTCAAGTAAGGTTCTTTTTTGCCTCATTTTTGTTTCTGTTTTCATTAATTGAATTTCTTGCTTAGTTTTTTGAGAGTTTTGTTGGTTTGACTGTGGTTTTAGTAGCCCATCTGTTGTTAAATAATGGGTATTTTGGGTTCTAGTTAGTGAATTAATCGTGCTATCTATTGTAGAAAAGTAAAGTTTCCATGTATAAAATGATTGTTTTTCGTGCTCAGTTTTCTCAAGATTTTTATTGGGTTGACTGTGTTTTTAGTATTGCGGCCGTGTGACCTAATAATCCTATTTAGAAAGTAACTCCAATATTAATGCTTGCTTGATGTTAAACAGACTTTTTTTGTTTTATTTAGCGCTAGAATATAATCTGACTTTATCTATATTTCTGGATAGATCTTCACAGTCAACAACAATGAGATCTTCACGAAGAGTAAGTGCAGCTGTAAGGACAGAAAGCGGATCAGGCACAATGGAGGTTGATATCTCCTTGAGTCCTAGAGTAAATTCAGTGAAGCCTTCAAAGACCGTGGCTATAATTGATCAGGCAGCTGCTCTTGCTCAAGCTGGTGTGCCTGTTATTCGGCTAGCAGCTGGAGAACCTGATTTTGATACTCCAGCAGTAATAGCTGAGGTCACTTTGAAAATACAAAGTGTTAATCTGTCTCTCTCTCATCAGCAGAATTAATGTGTGTTGCTCTAGCTACTCATATATTTATCTTCTTGAACTTTAGGCAGGAATTAGTGCCATTCGAGAAGGATACACAAGGTATACTCCTAATGCGGGTACTTTAGAACTCCGTTCAGCTATTTGCCACAAGCTGAAAGGTACCTTGCCGCTTATGAAGTAAACAACCTTTTTTGCTTTCTTTCTTTTCTTCTATTGATTTTCATTTATGGTAGAGGAGAATGGAATATCTTACACACCTGATCAAATTTTGGTGAGTAATGGGGCGAAGCAGAGTATTCTTCAGGCAGTTCTTGCAGTTTGTTCCCCAGGAGATGAGGTAAACTTTAAACTAATCTATTTTATTTCTATTCTTTGGCTATTTTGGAAGTCAATTGTTTCATCCTTTCAGCAAGAAAAGTATATTAGAATGTCATTCACAAATTGAAGTAGGAGAAGTGAATTAACATCATTTTTCACAAGTTGACAACTCTGGGTGCAACTTGAAGTAGAGGTAGACATGGAAATTAGACTTATTGGGAAAACATGTGTAAGGGACATATTTGGGAGACAATTTATTCTGAACTTCTTGAATGCGATTTTTTTTTTTAAGACAGGGGAGCAAGAAATAATGTTTGTCACGATTTATCAAGAATTGAATTTGTAAGGTGGAAAAGAGAGTATATATAAGTTTTGGTGGGTGTTTGGCACACCAGCTCCCCCGAATAAATTTAAATGTACAACAGTGGTTGACAATAATGGTTAACAACCATAAGTTGTCAAAATCCTAGCATGTGATGTAAAAAATAATTTTTTAAAATGGATGGATATTATAATGCCAAATAGGATATTATCAACCAATGTTATCAATTAATGTTGTACATGTAGCATGATTCAGCTCCCCCAATCACCCTCACTGGTTTGAAAGCTTTTCCATCTAATTGCATACTAGAATCAAAAATCTCTCTAAATGTACCTGTTTGGAGGAATTTACTATGATTAGTTTACAAATCAACAAAATATATGTGCACCAATTAGAAAAACAGAACTGAAATAACAATCAATAATCTGAACAAAATTGAAGCTGAAATAAACTTCAAGAAACCAAAATCTCAACTCAAGAGATTACTGAACAATGAAGCACAATAAACTGTAAAACTCGAAACCAAGATGAACTGGAACATAAATGAACAGAAGACACTAAAAAATTCACTTATCTCTTCATTAAAGCCCACAGGCCAAAATCTCAACAGATTCGTGCTTCAATCGTACAAGAATGAACCACCAGATGTTCAAATCAAACCCAAGATAAAGATACAAAAGTATAGCACTCAGACAATGCCGATTATTACACAAAATAGGAACTCTCTCAACTGATAACACAAGGTTCACACAAGAACCAACCCTCTAACAATGTAATCACACAAGATTTACAAACTGTTGAGAGAAAACAAGAAATCAAATCGAGCAGATTTGATTTCTACAAAGAAGAGAAGAAAACTCTCGAAGAACGGCACAGAGAACGAGAATGGAAGAGTTGAGAAGCCAAGTGAAGTCCCAAACCCTAGAAATTCGCTTTTATATGAGTCACCTAAAGATCGGCCATCCAACGGTGTAGGAGGTGACACTTGACGACATCACGAGCGTTCAAAATCAGGTAAGTGTAATCACGGTTTTAAGCTTCTTCACATTACACGTTTTTGCACCAAGAAACAAACCAATAGAACTTTGGGCTGGACTTTAATTCCAGCTAGGCCAACTCATTTTTGGCCCATTAACCATTGCATCATTGTGTCACATTTTCCTTTCAGTACCAATGCATCAAATTTCTGAGGTTGGCTTAGAGTTGCTCTAAGTTGGAGTCAGGAAAATGTGTCCTTTAAATAGCAGGAAGATAATGAAGTCATGTAGCAATAAATGTGAACAATGAGAAGAACACAACATCAAAGCTCGTTGATTCCAATGAAATCCGAGAATCGGTCATTAACACTCGTCGATTCAACAATTACCGAAAAATTGACTGATATCGTGACTCGCTAACTCTAAGTGAATGCCGTGGTTTGATTTTATCTACAAATTAGTTAAAACAGAAGAATACCAAAGTTGGATTGAGAGAATCTGAAAAAACGTAAAGTCCAATGATTTTATTCAAAAACAACCACAAAAAACTCAACGCCTAGTTAATAATTTAATAAAAACTTGAAGCTAAAAAAATGACTTAATTATTCTAACCAACAATCAAATAAAGAACATTAAAAAATAAAAAATAATGAAATAATTAGCTAAATCAATTAAACCACGGATGATCCCCATCTTGAGCCGCATAATCAAGCCATTCATCTACTTAAGATGACCTATGATTGCCAACAAGTAACGACATGTTATTCAGTTAGAAATGGAAGAAAAAGCCACCCTGCTTCGTAAATGACATACTACAGTTGTCGAGAAAAGGGAGGTCTTTCAAGGATCCTGGATCCCCAAATTTTCTAAATTTCTTTGTATACTTTATTTATTTATTTTAGAAAAACATTTATATTTAATTGTACGAGAGAGACAAGTTAAATTGATGTCTGAACAGAATTTTAATTTAAATTGATGTCTAGAAATGGTAAAAAAAATTGGATTATTAAATTCATTTCTAATAGCTATTTTTGGCTTGTTATTTTGAAGTTTCTATTTAATCGTTATCAATTCTAAAAGTGCGTTGCAAGTTGGTCAATGAGTACTTCGATATGTACCAAGAATCTAACATGACGACCGAAGAACATAGGCAAAAAATAAGCCAAAAGAGGTGACACCAAAATGAGAATTAAAAGAAAAAAATTAGTATTATTAAATTCATTTCTGGCATCCATCTTTGGATTGTAATTTTGAACTCGCCGTTTAATGATTTTTCGATATGAAAGATGTGTTAAGAAGTTCACCATGTATACTTTGAACCTGTGCTAAGAACCTACTCCAATAAGTAAAGAACGTAACTCGAAAATAAGCCCAAAGAGGTGACATTAAAATATGAATGAAATGATAAAAAGTAGAACTATTAATCAGTCTAAACAACAATATTTGGCTCATTATTTTAAACTTGTCATTTATTGGTTTTTCAGGAGTAATACCAAAAATGGTTATGAAGAAGCTAAACTAATTTAAGCCCTGACCACAAGTTCTTGGCTCCGCTACTGACTTATTATGTTAAATCTCCACATCTTATTGAAATAAACTACTTCCCACGATTATATGTTTAAAAATTTGCCCATAATGGCTATTGCAGCAGGGAAGGTTGGCAAATAAGCTTATATATGACCTAATGTTGGCGCCCATTATGGAGTACAAGTTGGGTTCTCAATAAACTGTATATGGGTTCGTTTGAAATTCTATTGCAGAAGATCCATACAGAGCGGTTTAATGTGGAAAGTAATTTTCATGACTTCTAATCATATCTTAGTTTTCTCATGATTATATCCTTCTCTCTCTCTCTCTCTCTCTCTCTCTCTCTCACACGCACACTGATTTTACCCTTGCTAGCATGCTTTCCTTTTCATTCTCCCCTACCCTGCCTCTATCTCCATGAAGCTAGTAAGATGAGCTAATGCAGAAGAGATACATATACTTGCCTAAAGTAGGCGTTCATTTTAAGGATGTCATGTTCAGCTAGTTCATAGAGATATGGGAAAGTACGTAGTTCGACCCTAACAAAATTTAGAGAGGGGGTGAATAGGTGATTATGCCGAATTAAAAATATTTAACAATTAAATAGCAACAAATCACTAATTAATTATTTTTCTAAATGATTAAACATGCAATTCTAGTAGTGGCAATGGGACGAGCCAAATGCCCACAAGGTCGGCTCGTGCTCATCACGAGCCGTGTTTTTTGCTTGGTTCGTTACTCACGGGTCGAGTTCGGCTCGGCCCATGAGCTCGTGGCTCGTAGGTCAGCTCGCGAGCTTGTTAATTTTTTTTTTTTTTTTTTTTTTAAGATATACCTCTTTTTGAAAAAAATAAAAAAATAACAATTCATAAAGACGAGCCCATGAGCCGCTCACTCTGCTCGGCTCACCTAGCAAGTTGGCCTGCTCGGCTCGTACTCGTGCCAGGGGATCCTACGAGTTCTTCTATCTTAACTGCACCTAAGTCCTTACTTTTTTCAATAGTAGTGACTTTAGGTCTAAACCTTTCAGGTAGGAATCTAAAGACTTTTCTAACGATCTTGGACTCGGGGGATCCTTTCTCCTAGGTTAAAACTTGAGTTCACTATGTCATTCAGCTTCGTATAGAATTCATTGAACAATTCATCGTTTTTCATTCTAATTTCTTCAAACCTAGAGGTTAATATCTGCAATTTAGAATTCTTAACAGTTTTAGTTCCCTCGTGTGTGGTTTCTAAGATGTCACAAACTTCTTTAGCAGTCTCACATATCGACACTCTCCTAAATTCTTCAGGAGACACAGCCATGAACAGAGCATGAATGCCCTTACTTTTCCAGTTACACTCAACTAAATCATCTTTAGTCTAGAGTGAGATATCAGTGGGTGTAACTACACCAGCAACAGTAGTTGAAGGTGAACGCTAATCCAAATACGTTCATCCAAAATTTTAAAGAATGTTCTCATTTGAATTTTCCAATAAGCATAATTGCTTCCCTAAAAAGCGGAGGCACGGACAATGACTGACTCATCTAAAATATTAAGGGTTAAGAATCGAATTCATGCTCTGATACCAATTGAAAGTATGTAGTTCGACTCTAACAACACCTGGAGGGGGTGAATATGTGATTATACGGAATTAAAAATATTTAACAATTAAATAGTAACAAGTCACTAATTAATTATTTTTCTAGATGATTAAACATGCAGTTCAATTAATCCTATGTTGAAATACCGCAGTTATGTAAGTAATAAATGAACACAAGAATTGATCATGAAGAAACTCAACTGGATGAAAATTCCGAACACTTTGCTAGTCAACAATCCACTATAAACATTTATCTTACAGCTTACCAAACTAGACGACAACACGTACTACTTGATCTCCTGACTGCAATTTCAGCAACTTTTCTGGATTCTGTGCTATTGTATCAACTCCCAGCTACAGTTTACAAAGCTCTCCTGGATTGCGCTCTCCTGCAGCAACTCCCAACTTTGTAAAATCGTCTATCTCCTGTGGATTTACGAAAAACACCTCGTTCTTCAACGACTGAAACTCCAGTCACCTTCCCTTGATCTTCAAAAACTCTGACAGTTATTTAAGAAGTAGCAGTTTGGTATTTTGGTTGTAAAACTGATGTTTTTCACCGTCAAGAACAGATCAATTTGAACAATGAAGGTTAAATGTTTCAGAGGATGAAAAGAATATGAAAGCAGTGGTTTTTCTCAATCATCAACCTTAGAAAAATACGTTCCATGGCATTCAAGTATTTGTATGTAGGTTAGGAAATGAATGGGCCGAACCAAAAGCCTTTAAAAAACGAAATAAATTTTTTCTGATGATAGTGTAGCTGTATATTAACTACGACCTTAAATGAATATTACCTTTGAAGATTACCAGCTTACTACTAGCATCTTCACTTCTACAGGTTCTAATTCCTGCTCCATATTGGGTGAGCTACCCAGATATGGCGAAGTTGGCTGATGCAACCCCTGTAATTCTTAATACCCACATATCTGAAAATTTTCTTTTAGATCCAAAGCTTCTTGAATCGAAACTCAGTGAGAAGTCAAGGCTGTTGATTCTTTGCTCGCCATCCAACCCAACAGGGTCTGTTTATCCGCGTAAATTGCTTGAAGAGATTGCTCATATTGTAGCAAAGCATCCCAGGCTTCTGGTTGGTTCACTAAATCTACGTAGTTTACGCAAAGCGATACTTATTTTTGCATGGTTAAAGTGCTTCTATATTCTAGATTTAGCTTACCTTGTCCTCCTTTTTTAGGTTCTCTCTGATGAAAGTTATGAACATATTATTTATGCTCCGGCAACTCATACGAGCTTTGCATCTTTACCTGGCATGTGGGATAGAGCTCTAACTGCAAATGGCTTTTCAAAGGTAAAATGTACTTAATCGCTCGAAGGAGTCCATGCAAGTTATTTGTTATTGCTTTCTCTTATTTTCGGTCTTCAAATGATTCCAATGGGCTTAACATTGTTAACTGTCTGTCTTTACAATTATGTGACTTCCAAAGGCATTTGCCATGACTGGTTGGAGACTTGGATATCTTGCTGGTCCCAAACACTTTGTGGCTGCATGTGCGAAGATTCAAAGTCAGGTAGGTATACAAATTTGTTAAACTCTTTTATTACACACAAACTATCTTTCAATCAGAATGTTTTCGGTATGTGAAGTGCCTTGTTATTTTTACATATTACTCATTGCACAAATACGTAGATTCTAATATTTTATTAGTAACAAAATGTTTGTAAACATGGATCTTTTGCTGAATATTTTCTATTGTTCATTTTACATTATTGCAAGGACTCTTTCATAAATTAAGCAGAAATTATTGAGTTTACAGTTGCTAAAGTTTCTGAGGAGGCTTCAACCAAATGCTTATTTTAATATTTTTCGCAAAGAATTAAGTGATTATAATTTGTAGGTCCTACGAAAGATGTGGATAAAAATAGACTTTGACCAACTTATAAGCACTTGTGGCTTTGCCAAACCTGCACGTAATCTTCAATATTACCTTAAAATTTATTATCTGAATTTCAATCGGTTTATACTCTTTACTTATTTGAAGTTTAAAATATATGCAAAATTGGGGGGGATTAGTTCCTAAAGGATGGCTGATGGATATATGAGTCGTGATGCAGCAAAAATTTATGGTCACTTCATACATACTAAGCTGCAATTGGATTAACGGTAGGTCTAATTTAGTGTGTTATAAACAAGAATTAATCGATAACACAAACCTCCACGTGATCCCAAGAGCTCCAACGCCCTCTGGGAAATAGGGAAAAGGTTGACCAAACTCGCAACAGTAGTTCAATACAATAATCCAGTCTCCTAGGATTTATTAGAGCGCAGGAAATACCATCACTTTTGTTGTAAATAGGGCTCCAAGCTACTCCAAGACCGGGCTCAGTCAATCCAAATCGACACCACGATCGACAAACCCAATCCCCAAGCCAACACACTAAACAAAGTCCCAATCCGGTTGCTTTGAGTCTGTCCACAAAGGACTAGAAATGGAGGATATAATAGCCACAAGCCACCAAGGCTGGAGAAGGCAGTGAGCGCGAAGTAGGAAGGCAGAGCACAAAGCAAGCCAAAAATACCGCCGGTTTTCTTCTCAAATAAAGGGGGCTATATAATATCTCTCAAGCTACAACAGTAATGGGCAAGCTCATATATTGGAATAGGATGGGTTTTTAGGGTTAGAACTAATTAGGCCCAATAGCAAATGAGTGGGCTGTCAACAGATAATAGAAGCCCTCCAAGATTGGGTTGGGCCATGAGCAGCACTAATATAATTAGGTTGCTTCAAATGGCCCAAGTGGGTTATGGGGAAAGGTTTAAACAATCGTGGTGTCGATACACAACTTCACTCATCGGCCGAGGCCTATGAAGTATAATCCAACAATAAACCGGTTTAACATCATTCCCCGGATTTATTGGGTATCAAAAAACCCAACAAATCTCCACCTTGATCCCAATAAATCTGCAAGCAACCANATTAACACAAAGTCAATCAACAGGCCAACACATACGCAACAAATGCATAAATGATCTCACAAAGATCTCACCACACTTAGCCTATCCCATTCTGTGTTGCTCACTCCTCGAGAACACATATCTCACCTCATCGCCCACAATTCACTAGACTAATCACTTAACTCGTGTCTAACTGGTAAATCTCTATAGATCCTAAGTTCTCGGGATAATCCTCTATCAACACATCACTTCTCCCAACCTACGTGGATAATGGGTCTCCACCTAATAGAAGTGATAGAAGTGTCTCACTCGCACTCCACCTGATCAGGGTCTCTTCACAGATAAAAGGATTCCAAACATTTGATCACATCTCCACCGTGATCCAAATGCCACACTCCACATCCCACGGTACAAACCACAATGTACCCCTAAGCATCTATACTCCACCTTACCAAAAGACATACACACACACACACACAGCGAATGCATCCCGAACCCACTATGGCAAATCAACACCTTTTGGCGACCATAAAGGTTAGGGCTCAAATTTAAATTTGACCCACGCACCACAAGGTTACTCCAACACTAATGCTATAACAAATCCACAAATAATTTATCCCACAAAGGGAAAGGTGAAGGTGGCACTCACAAAGAGAATAGAAGAAAGAGTTGGTTACTTCACTGCACTCACAAAAGAGGCTCACACAGATAACGAAGATAACCCTCACAGGCTGCTTAACACAATCTCACAAACCACACAGGCTCACAAAGATGAAGAAGAAAATGGCTGCCCCTCTAACTTCTCACTACCACACTCTATCACACCACTCAAAGAGCAAAACGAAGTACGCCATTGATCTCAACCCACTATGCATGCAAACACATTACACCAAGTGATAAGATCACTCCAATTCATGCCAATGCACATATCAAACATATTGAAATGCAACATATAGCCATGCAGCGGAAACGAGCAATCACACACATGCAAAAAGGATTACACACGGATGCACATGCAGTAACTAGGGTTACACTTAATAAACCTCACTAGGGTCATCACTCGACCCTAAAACCAGATTCGTCTCGCCTCTCGACTTACCCTTCTTCTTAGGACAATCCCTCATGAAGTGTCCAGACTTACCACAGCTGTAACACCGTCTACCACCGGACTTGTCCCAACTCTTGCTCTTCTTCTTATCACCCTCATCACTCGAGTCACTACTCGAATCACTGTTATCTTGAGCTCTACCTAAACTCATTTGCTTAAACTTCATTCTACTCCTCATCATATGCAACTCACCATTTCTCTTATCTTCCTTTTTAGCCTTAATCTCCATTTCCTTACTCCTAAGGGAATTTATGACAATTTCAGGGGTTAAGGTGTCCCTGCCATACTTAATAGCATTTTTAACTTCATGATAAGTATCAGAAATAGCATTCAGCAAAATAATAGCCTTGTAGGTTTCAGACACTGACTCTCCACAGTTAACAATATCTTGAACCAACTTGTTAAAAACATCCAAATTGTCATCCAAATCTTTTGAAGAATCCATTTTAAAGTTAAAAAATCTTTCAAGCAAGTACAACTTGTTAGGAGTGGATTTAAGCAAATATAAATCATCCAACTTTTTCCAAAGTTCTTTGGTAGAATCAAGTTTTCCAACTTTTCTCAAAACAGTGTCAGACAGGTGTAAAATAATT